GTCTATATATCTTTCATGGAAAATTGGCCATGAATGGCAAAATACGATAATAATAGCCGCATTTTTAAAGCATGATTATCTTATGCAAGTAACATCCAGCCCTACTGAAAAAGCTGATTTCAGTTTGTGATGAAATAGAAATGAAATAAGAATTGCCAATGTTTGATAGTTAGCAAGAACTAAATCAAATTATTATACTTAGATACAAATGGAAAGGTAGTTGATTTTTCCATTCGTCTGTTTTCTGCACTTCGCACAGCATCGCCTGGCTTTCGTCCCGTCCATGCTTTGATGTTACCTTCCCATCTATTTATCCATCTTCCTCCTGGGATAGGAGGCAGTTGACAAATCTGACTTGGTTGACAAGTCACCCTTAACTTATTATATTGATTGTGATTTAACAAAGCAAATATTTGCCAATTACTTTTCAGCTCTCTTACTTCCTGACATTAATCTAGAAAACATCTAAATAACAAGGGGCCGACAAGTTTCATTTTATTCCATGGCGAATATCACAGCTATTGATAAAACGAAGAAAATCCCAATCCTTTTTTGAAGTTTTAGAATCTATTTGGCCGAACGCATCATATTTAGTCATCCCGGTCGTAATACTAGTGTAAGAGTCCAAGTTAACTATGATTTTTTACACAACCCTAATCGTTAATTCTCACGACACAATGGCGTAGTGGTTCAAGGAGCACGATGTAAAAAAAACGAGAAGAGCAGGAACTAGTTTTATAGCGGAAAGAGAATACACGTTTTAAGTAAAGCAACCGTGTACGATTTTATCTTGAAGAGGATACTGACATATTGTTTTGTCTCGAATGGAATATTGAATTACTATCAGATGGAACATCATTGACCGTGTGTGCATATATACTTGCATTCTATGATTTTTACAAGGATATCCTCATATCAAGGATTTATTAACATATCCATGATATGTAATAAAGTACTGTATACATTATTCATTGGACGTTATTACTTCTTAAGTGAGAGAGGAACATATTCAGATAGTACTGAATTAATTAATTATTCAATTAGTAGCGGCAAGCCATCCATTACAGTGAGCTCAAGCATTAGTTAACAGTGCTGCCCACAAGCATTTTCACATTGGTATCGGAAAAAATTATTTGAACTAAGCAACAGACACAATTACTATAAAGATATTTTTTGTTAATAATATTAAAAATATATTAAACAAATTAATATAAATTAAAAGTACAATAATTACTGACAATGCAGTTTTTGCTCAAATTATTTCACAACAGGATTTGTTTTCATTGTTCATTTCTCAATAAAGCTATTATCGTAATGACTCCTCATAGATAATGCCAGAAGCTCGCTCAGATTATGTATTTAAATGGCTTACCGATTCATACATCGGGCCATGTGTCACATTGAACAGACCAATAGGATTTAAGCGTACTTTTGGCCTACAATGAATTTAATGTGTCATGAGCAAAATCAAATGAATTTAATGTGTCATGAGCAAAATCAAATGAATTTAATGTGTCATGAGCAAAATCAAATGAATTTAATGTGTCATGAGCAAAATCAAATGAATTTAATGTGTCATGAGCAAAATCAAATGAATTTAATGTGTCATGAGCAAAATCAAATGAATTTAATGTGTCATGAGCAAAATCAAATGAATTTAATGTGTCATGAGCAAAATCAAATGAATTTAATGTGTCATGAGCAAAATCAAATGAATTTAATGTGTCATGAGCAAAATCAAATGAATTTAACACACAAAAAAATTAGTACGGATTTTCTAGGATTTAGATTTAATTTTTTTGTAAAAATAGTTTTCGTCTTTATTCCTTAAAAGGCGTCCAAAAGCATGTACGGCTGTAAACCTTTTAAACTTTCTTTAAAACCGTAAAAAGGACGGGAAAACGGTACATTTGGGCATGCATGTATATTGTCCGTACATTTTGGCATGCATGCATAATGCACGTCTTTAAACTAAGGATCTTGCAAATAGTAATAACATAAAAATACAAGTAACAATATGTGTGTATAAAATCAAATGTATCTGGCTTAGCGATAATTCATTGGCTCCACCATATCACTAATTTTAAAAAGTGATTGTTTTCCTCTATTAATTAAATTCTTTTTAAACATGTTTGGAAAATAATTTTTAACTACTTTTTTTTTTTTTTGCTTTATTACTGTACACATTCTTCTCGAAGGGCGGAGAACTCAAAGTTCTCCTGGGGTGGGAGGGGATAGCGGGGGGCGCCCTGTCTGAAAGCAATACCATATACACACAGTAAAATTAGTCTACCGGGTATCAAAGGGGCGTTGTAGAGAAGTATTTTTTTATCACTAATTTTAAAAAGTGATTGTTTTCCTCTATTAATTAAATTCTTTTTAAACATGTTTGGAAAATAATTTTTAACTACTTTTTTTTTTTTTTTGCTTTATTACTGTACACATTCTTCTCGAAGGGCGGAGAACTCAAAGTTCTCCTGGGGTGGGAGGGGATAGCGGGGGACGCCCTGTCTGAAAGCAATACCATATACACACAGTAAAATTAGTCTACCGTGTATCAAAGGGGCGTTGTAGAGAAGTATTTTTGGAGGCGTTTTATAACATGATGGTTTAATTATACAAATAATTTTACAACACTTTTTTGTCTTGTTTGGTCTGTCGATGAACCAACATAATCTTAGAAAGGAGGTTCTCAAAAATGAGTGGAGCCTCCACCAAGGTCATGGCGGCTTCCCCAAAGAGGTGCTGTATTGCTTTCGGGATTTTATAGAAATGCTTATCTTTAGAAGTTTTCCCATTCGGAAGACCTCACACAGCACATTGGTTATCACAAGTATTGGCTAATTCTATTGCACTGAATTTGCAGTTGCTGGGTGACTGAGGTCATTTGCACTCTTTTAACAACACATTAAGGCCTCCTTAATTTTGAATAAAAATTATATATTAATAACGTTTGGATGATTTCGAGTTATACAAATTTTCTAATCATTCTGATCCAGAAATAAAATTTAGGTGAAGATGCGTATCAGGTAACAATGTGTATATACTTGAAAATTTTACATAAAATAATATAAGCAGTGATTTTTTTTTTTTTTAATTTTTTTTTGTTTAAAGGCCAGATTTTGAGGATAAATTGTTTGTTATGAATGATGAAGTTTGTGAACTGTGGGAAGGACTATATTACCAATCAAAATTTGTAAAACGTAAGACAATCTTTTATACAATGAACACGTTTTTGCTACATTGCAAGAATATGACTATCATTTGCGAAAGTGTGACATTCATTGCTAGAGTATGACACACACTGCTAGTGTATTACATTCACTGCTAGAGCATGGCACTCATTGCTAGAATATGACATTTACCGCTAGAGCATGAAATTCACTGCTAGAGTATGACATTAACTGCTAGAGTATGACATGTATTATAGTATTCTGCACCGTTTGAATGCTCATTGTTGTATTTTAATCATCTTATTTGGTGGAGCTTGGATTTTATTGAATGCTTCCTGATTCGCTGAGCGGAAAGATGTAAAAGATAAATATGAAAACAGTCAATGAAGTTTTGACAAAATAAATAAATACTTTGAAAAACGTGCTTAACTTTTACGAAAACCATGAGTCAGTCACAGATATAGTGAAAATAATTATCCTCCTGAAGTACCGTACAATTAATCAGTTAACTATTTAATTAATAAAAGAACAATGTTTAATTTGTCTTCTTCTCTTATCTTTTAGGGTCCACGATCATTCTGGCTCCTATGTGTCAGAGGGGTTTGCGATGTTAGCGTGCATGGGTTTCAAGGAGATACTTGCAAGTGCGACTCAGCAGTGGTGTTACAAACTGGGGGTTGGAAGACAGGAGGCAACTTTGTATTTGTTTTAAAATTTGTATTTTAACTTATATTTTAAATAAATTTCACAATTTTACATTTTAGTGTATTACGTGGTTCAAAAATGCGTTGTTCAAACTTTAATTCATAAAGTGCCTGTAATTTTTTTTTTTTTTTTGGTTGGTTTTTTTTTTTTGCGAGGGGGGGGGGGTATTTTTTGCCGTCAGACTGAGCTAATTGGCCAAAGGGAGTGTGGCATTGTCTTTAATCAGTGGATCTCAAATTGGGCGATGCTCTTTCCTTGGTGAACAAAGAGAAACTTTGAACAAATGGGTAAATATGTAGGTGTGGTAGGTAAGCAAGTTGGTGTTGACGTTGGTAGGCAAGCAAGGAGGTGTTGACGCTGGTAGGAAAGCAAGTTGGTGTTGACGTTGGTAGGCAAGCAAGGAGGTGTTGACCTTGGTAGGCAAGCAAGTTGGTGTTGAAGTTGGTAGGAAAGCAAGTTGGTGTTGACGTTGGTAGGAAAGCAAGTTGGTGTTGACGTTGGTAGGCAAGCAAGTTGATGTTGACGTTGGTAGGAAAGAAAGATGTTGTTGACGTTGGTAGGCAAGCAAGGACGTGTTGACGTTGTTAGGCAAGCAAGGAGGTGTTGATGTTGGTAGGCAAGCAAGTTGGTGTTGACGCTAATATGAAGGCAAGTAAGTGTTGACATTGGTCGACTAGCAAGTCGGTGTTGACATTGTTAGACAAGCAAGGATGTGTTGACGTTGGAAGGCAAGCAAGTTTGTATTGACTTTGGTAGACAAGCAAGTAAGTGTTGACGTTGGTAGGAAAGCAATTAGTTGTTGATGTTGGTAGGCAAGCAAGGAGATGTTGACATTGTTAGAGACGCAAGGAGGTGTTGACGTTGGTGATGATATGAGTTGTTAGGAGTTCGTTGTGTGCATCTTTGGGTTGTTTTGGGGTATCAAAGGAAGTTATGATATATGTATTCCAAAAGTAAACAAATTTGAATTTCTGATACTCACTCGAAAAGAAATTCTAAATATTTTTTTTATTTAATTCAAATTAATAACTATATAAGTTGTTCGTTTCATCAACATTTTTTTTTCAAATAGATCCCAATGATATGAAAACAAGTTAACAAAATTTAAAAAAAAATGTTTCATTGCAATTGTTTTAATAACTTTATGTACATCTATTTATAGCACAACTTTTATATTTAACTTAACATTTTTTATCTTTAAAAATGTACAGACAGTTTATAAAGACATCAGTTTTCAAATGAAGAATAAGCACCCATCTCGTGTCGTCGAATATCCGCTTTTTTATAAGCCATAGTGACTTGAGAACAATCGAACTATTTTTTTACAGAAGGTAAATGGAGGGGTGGGTGGGCAGAATTATGCTGGGACTTATTGTCAGACTTTTTTCATAGTTTATACATTACATGAAATAATAGTTTAAACATTACATGACCTCATAGTTTATATTATTCCGTGACAATGACCAATTATATAATGCGATTTTTAACGTGTAATAACTCTGGTAGTCAGTTGACATGGTAACTCCATTTTCAACCGGTTTCAACTATTAAAAAATAAATTTAAAACATACCCCAAAATATTGCTCCGACACTGGAGATTATAGTCAGCCACAAAAATAGTGGACATGTTAAAATCAAGTATTATGTTCAACTTCAAAAGCAAAGTTAGAAGAGCGTCGTCGTAAAATTAAAATATATTTTAGCAACTGTACACAGAAAACTATTTTTTGCGTTACAAAATTAATTTTACAACTATAACTTCATTAGTCAAATAACAATGAACTCCATTGTTTTAAAATGGCATTTTTTGTCAAATTACGGATTTAGCACTTTTTTAAAATTGTATTTCTTTAAGTGCAGAAACAATTTATTTTACAATGACGCTCATGTTATTTTCCAGCCACGCGTGTCAGACGTGTCAAGTTCTTTGTCTCAATCACTGCTATCATCACTTTCATCGAATAATGTTCCTGTCGCCGATTTGTAGATGAATTTCTTAAACGTTTCATCAAAATTATAAAAATCCTTTTCATTTGAGTCTGTTGTTTTGGCTAAGACGTGTAGGAGATGGTCATTCTCGTAATAAGAGTAATCCTCAGATGGCATAGAATTAGCTTCCTCGTTATTATGAAACAAAAGTCTTTCTTGTAGCAGAAATGGAAGCTGAGTCTTCTTGACTCTCTCCCCTCTGTCTGCACCACAGCCGATGGCTGATGAAACGTGTACAAATGCCAAAGTCACAAGTGAGAGCGGTTGTGACACTTTATCTTTCAGCAAGGCGCAGGAGTCCTCACAAACGTCTTCGACATAGTGAAGGATCTGTGGGTTTCCGGAAAGTATAGATAAGTCCCCACTTGTCAAGTACCAGGTATCAATAAAGTGACGTGCCATGGGGACATTATCCGTCACCAAAGCTATCGCCAAAGAAGAGACGGGCATAGCGTCAGGCCACTCAACGGGTAGATTGGTCAAATGTAATTCACCTGGTCCCAGCCCTTGAGATATAAGTTTCTTCACTAAGGTTACGCCGTTAACTGCAATTAGCCGATGGATGACCCCAGGCACTAAATGTTGGATGGTAGCTCCATGATCCAGTAAATCCATCGCCAACGACTGACTGAGATCAGAATGATGCCATTTGTTCAGGACTGCGGATAAGGCAGTTTTAGGGCGTGCCATGTCCGTGGTGACGCTATTCACATTGGCATGAGCTCGAAGAAGTAATTTAACAGAATCTGAACTAAACACACTGCCAGCTGCTTTCATAAGTGCTGACTCCCCGACCTTGTTTTGGTGATTGACTTTGGCACCAGCTTGGATTAACAGATCAACTATAACTTCGGAATCGTCATCGTCTCCTATCGACTTCAGCAATGGCGTGTTGCCGTTCTTCTCTATAGCTTCTACGTTCGCGTTATTTTCTAAAAGAAGTCTAACCATAGCTTCGGATATCTTTACAGCTTTGTGCAATGGAGTGCGATCGGATCGACACCTCTGATTTACAACAGCGCCTGATTTTATCAACAACGTCGCATTTTCAAAACGGTCCTCGGCAACTGCTATGTACAACGCTGAATTTTTGTCGCTATCGACGTGATTAACTTTAGAACCACTGGCCAGTAAACACTGTAAAATACTCCCCGCTCCACTGATTCTGGCGGCATGAAGCAAAGCAGTCTTGCCTTCATGGTCAACGCTCTTGACATCGGCACCGCTGTCTAAGAGCGTCTTTATAATTTTTTCAATATATTGGAAGCACTTTTCTTCAGTGATTTTGTGATTTTCGGACACTGATTTCAAGTAAGTTTCAGAGACGGCATTGAGTAATGCTGTGTTACCTGTGGACCTATTTACGTCTGCCCTGTTTTTCAGGAGATATTTTATGGTATTGAGGTCTACGGCGTTCATCAGTGGTGTTTTTGTGTCGTGTATGCAATCAACATCCACCCCAGCTTCGGTTAAAATCTTGAGAACACCCATGTCGCCAATTATCACAGCTGTATGAAAAATGTCTGGTCTTTGGTTCGCAATCAGATTTCGTACTTCCTCTGCGCAATGATCGACCAGATATCTCAGCGATCTCTTGTTTTGATTGTCAACTGCTTCGGATAATGCAAGATCCACTCTGAAGTAGGCACCGTGATATAACAGCATGTTGACGCAGCCAATATCTCCTATCTGGAATGCGGTGTTCAGAGCAGAGCCGCCGTATAAAGCATCACTGTCTTCGTCACGTTTGTTGATCTCAGCCCCGTGACACACGAGCAATGGTATCAGCTCAGGACTCTGCCTTTTGACGACACTCACCAACACATCATGAGGAATCAACGGTTTAAATGTGCATATTAATTCTACCAATCTGTAGTCACCAATTTGAACTGCTAAGAAGATCGGAGACCCTTCCACTTTACTGAAGTCATTTACATTGATCCCCATTTCCAATAACTTTTGAATGAGAAAATGTTCAGTCTCACTGACTCCCCTTTGCATCTCAAATATTGATGATAACATCCTTGTTAAGACTCCTTTCTCGGCGAAGGCCGCTTCCTGTATCAAAGCAACGTTGCAGCGTTGCATAAAATTAAATGACTCTAAATCCCTATTTAAGGCTGCCGATATCAGAGGGGAGACACCGAATTCTTTTTGGCAGGTTAAATGCTGGAATACTTTCCCGATTCCCAATCTATCCGCCACCTGTTGCATAGTCTCTCCTTTGTAATTGACTAAATAATGACCGGTTCGCTGAACACTGTGACACGCACCCATGTTTATCAGCAGAACAGCTGCTTCCAGGTCGAGATGCTCCAAAGCTCTCATCAATGACGTGCAGCCTTCAAAGTCTTGTTGGTCAATGTTTAGGTCCTTCCGGTTGAGCAGCATGCGAGTTGTCTCCCTGCATCCACTGGATTTAATGGACAGCATCAGCGCGGACTCGCCTCTCATGTTGAACGCATTGACGTTAGCGCCCATGGTGAGCAGGATGTCGACAATGTCCACCAAGCCTTTCTCCGAGCAGATCAACAGTGGAGTGTTGCCGTGGTCGTCTCTGATCTCCAGGCGAGAACCGTCTTGAAGAAGGTACTGGATGAAATGTTTCTGGCCTTTGTGACAGGCTTGGATTAAGCTGCAGTTGACGGCGCACGGGGAGAACGAGTCGATGCGGTAATTAGCCAACCTGATTACATCGAGGAAGTCTCTGGGCGTGCCGGAAGTGACCGCTTTATACAGGTAAGCGTCGTTGAAGACTGGAGCTTCCCCCGGGGCGCTCATTTTTAATCATTGGGCACCTTTCGAAGATAGGGTGGTTAGATTATGATACTCTTTGGTTTCTGCATGGTGCCTTTCATCTGCAGACGGTTAGATTCTTTATTTTGTACTGGGTTCCGCAACTTTTTTGATAATCAATAGTTCATCAAGTATTTGATAGCTCTTCTTCATCCCGATCTGAACTGTATTTTTCTTTCTAAGAAAAAAAAAAGTTAATATATCATTTATAAGAATTTTGAAAAAAGTACATGCAATATAAACAAATAGGAAAGAAAGGGGGCTTTTTGTTAATAATATTACCTTTATGCATTATTCATCGTGTTACAACGCTGTAATATCTTTATCTAAAATAATCAAGTGGCCTCCAATAGAGTTTAAAGTGACCATTTTTTGTTTGTCACCTGAATCGACTAGTGCCACTGGTTTAAATTAGAAACAAATTTTGTCAACTATCCCAATATTAAACAAGCATTGCTTTTTTTTTTTTTTTTTTGTTTTTGCGGGGGGGGGGGGGGAGGGGGGGGGGTCATTAGTGGAAAATACAGGAAACCTGGTCACAATGGAGTCATGGAATGTTCAGGTTTTTTTAGCCCATTTTTTATATTGAAAAAAAATCTGGCCTACTTTTAGATAATGTGGAAATTTTTTTTACCCTTGATAATAGTTGTTGGTTAAAATTTGAGCGCCCATTCATTAATGATATGAGGTCCTTTTCAAATAAGCTTATGCTTAGATTTAGATGATAGGATGTGTAATATTTCAAAATCAATTTGTTCTATCTCAGTGACATTTTTTTTAAATGCATGTTTAAAAATATAAAACAAAATTCTATTACCAATTTTTTTTTTAAAGCTGCAATGTGTTGAAAAGGATCTGACAAAAAACGCGAATAAATTTAAATACTGTCAGATGTATATTCAAATTTAATTTAAATACAGTCAGATGTATTTTTAGAATAAATTCAAAGAACAAAATTTCAAGTGTTCGATCATTTCGATAACTGAATTGTTTAGGTTGAAATAGATCACGTTAAGGAAACAAGAATCTATGGTTGTGACAGAAATGTAGATCTAGCTGTCACGGCAAATACGTAATTATATAACCATCGTCAAGCTTCCATAAATAACTGCTTTATCTTTTTATGACAGAATGAATGATAAGTGGGTGGGAGTGTAACCGCAGTAGCCTAGTATTTCAAATCAAAGGGCCTGACCTTAAAGGTCGGTGGGGAAACGGGCGTCATTAAAAACTGAAAATGAAGACTGATTTTTAATCTTTTTAAACGACGGGTTTTAAAAAATCTGGGGAATATTATTTGACAGTACACCCGCTTGAACTGCCTTGAACCTTAAAACCATTCGATTTTCTATTTGGCACAGGAGAAAAAGAACTGACACTGCTTGGGCGGCTTTGCAGGAACACGTGTAGTCGTAGGGCTCAAATTAAATTATAAAATTAACAGAGTTCGAAGTTGTCACTGACTGTAAATTGCCTGGAAGTAAATGTCGCTACCCGTAGAAAAACCACTTGTCCCAAGCCCGCCCCACACCTTTTCAGTTCAGTCCTTGCCAAGTTACGCCACGACTAATACTAAAACTTTAGTCCTACCTTAGTTTAAGACGTACCCTGGATACGTTGTTTACTCTTCACATGACAGTAAACGGCAATAGCCTACATTCAGATAACTGTTTAGTGACGATACCGATATTATAGAATCTTCTGTAAACACTATGTAAACTTAAAATACTAAGAATACAGTACAAATAAAGCACAGCCTAATAAAAAATGAAGGGTTTGTGTAAAGCGTTTACTGATAACGGCTTCTAACTTCAAGGAATAAAATGAGTAAAACAGAGTATGGTTAAACCTGAAAAATTAAACGCAACAAAACAGCGAACGTGTCGGCAGAAAGCCTTCGTCAGCGAACAAAACAACAGAAATTCAATTCAGGTTTAACCATACTCTGTTTTACTCATTTTATTTGTACTAACCTGATTGCAGTCTCTCCCCTTATTACCCCTAACTTCAAGGAAACGGTATGAATCCCCAGAAATCAAATGGATCTTCCTGCTACGTAAGTTTGGGAAATCCCGCAATTAAATTGTATCAATTTTCCGACTAGTTGCTAAATGTCAGAGTAAAGTACACTCCAGGGCTACCACACCTTGGGAAATTTCCCAAGATCTTGGGAATTCACGACCCCCCTTGGGATATGGGGAATAATTTTGAAAATCAGCCAAAACCTTGGGAAATCTTAACCGTGAGGGAAATTTTATTATATTTTTCGAAAAACTCAACAATATCTGATAAAAAAATAAAGTGAAAATAAAGCAAAATAATTTTTAAAGTAAAAAGGCAAAAAATTAATTGTTTTAATTTTCTTTTCTGGTTTTAATTTTTAAATCCAATCATAAAATAAATAAAAACTCTTCTGATATTAGAGTTAATATTGTGAATTATTAAAAAGTTAATAATTAAAAAAAAATTAAATGTTCTCTTTTTTAAAAAAAAATTGAAGATTTACAAATTACATCCAGGTTTTGAATGTTTATTAAATGGGGGGGGGGGGGTGAGGGGTAGGTTCGGAAATTTTATATTTTTGCTCTTGGGCATTGGCAACAATACAAAAACAGTAAAAGCCAAAGAGTGAACGATAGTGTTAAATCAAGAATGGGGGTGAGGGGTAGGCTCGGAAACTTTATCATTATGCTCTTAGACATTAGCAACAATACAAAAACAGTACAAGCCAAAGAGTGAACGATAGTGTTCAATCAAGAATCCATGCCATAGTAAAATTTGATTATTTCAATTACTTCTACAATGTGTTCAAAATATAATGCATCTGTAAAAAAATCCAGCCTAATTTTGATCAATTAGAAAAAAATATTTGTGGATTGAAACACACAGGTAACTAAAATATTAAAAGTATAGGCCTACGTTGTAGGATTATAAATGAACAATTCCTTTAAAAGTTTTTTTTCATTTGAAAAAATCGTTATAAAGTAAATTTACAAGAAAAAAATACTTATTGTTTTCATCATAATATTAATATCAATCCATTTTAACTACAATTATTATTAATAATTTTTGCTTAATTGCTTTGCAAACCCCACTTCTAATCAAAAGATTTACAATAATAAAAATCATTTTTTGATGAAGAACCTCTTGCCTTTGTAAAAGGAATTCTATGTTGATTAGCCTTGTTTTAATAATTTTTGCTTAATTGCTTTGCAAACCCCACTTCTAATCAAAAGATTTACAATAATAAAAATCATTTTTTGATGAAGAACCTCTTGCCTTTGTAAAAGGAATTCTATGTTGATTAGCCTTGTGTCACAGATGAGATGGTATTATGAGGTAATGGCCGTACTTATGGTCATGTACCACGTGGTTTTGGTGGTGTTATGAATAGTACTGGGCCGTCCCTCTATGTGATGGTTCACTAATCCAGGCGTTGAGAAGTACGACCAAGAGAACACAGAACACGAATGAATGAATAAACAACTCCTCATTAACAGTCATAATTAAAAGATGTATTGATCACTATAATAAGATTGTAATGTCTCCTTTCTAACTGTTAACACTTCGCTATCTATTCCTAATTCTATCTCTGACTACGGCTAGTAATACTGCGTCTGTTACAACAGAACGACCGTCCACGAATCTCTCCCCTCCTTATGCCACGAAGAGTTCTATGTTATATACCATTCTCTACCTCCCTAGGTGGTCCAGGAATGCTGGCAATTAACCCATCTATACCCCCCTCATTTCCGGTCAATTAGGAACTTCCGTCGTCAACCCCAAAGTTGTCACACGAAGTCTGGGAAATCCGAGACATAATGTTATGGAAAGAAGCATCCCCTTAATCTAAAAGATACGAGAATGTATTAGCCTTACCCCCATGCGCCCAACAGTTCCCTCCCTAAGATCACAGCAATTTCCGTTCATCCCATAAGTTATCTGAAGAACAATGGAGCTCTGTTGTTAACCCCCGACCCAGTCATTTGTGACACCTTGTAAGCTTTTTTTCCAAGTGACTTCTATTACACATGTATTGTAGATGATATTTTTACCAGAGAATTCGGAGGTAATATTTAGTCCTAACTCCAGTGGGTATTGATATTTTGGATTATAAGTTATTTTTTTAAACAAATTGTTTTGTTTTTTTATGTGATAAACATTTTTTAAATGACCTTTTCAATAAATTTCAGTCAATTAATGTACCATGTTTTTCAGGGGCATAGATTCAATCTATTATTACATTAACTACATTGAAAACCCCCCTTTTAAAAAAAAAACTCTTATATGTTTTTATGATCTTGGGAAATCTTGGGAAATTTGCTCACCAAATCTTGGAAAATTTAAAAAAAGTGAGTGGCAGCCCTGGTACACTCTGGCCTACTTAACTTTGAGCCACTAACTAAATCACACGTTTCTCAGCATGTTTTAAGTCGTGATCCTATTTTGTGGAAAATGTGATCGATGGACCCCAAATGGCCAATATTTCAGCTTGAAGCTTTTCTTTGCTCTTATGATCGGTGACGAAATATTTAAAATAGGTCAAGATCTAAAAATAAAAACTAAGACACGTTCAACTATGTTGAAATGTCTTATGGAAATTATTCCAACAGTACAATCTATTATTATTATTGTTTTAATTACGAAAAATTGAATTTTATGCTTTAAATTGTAACTCGATAATGCTATCCTTAAGTCATTATAACGTATAATATTTACCAAACTTAAGAACTCTTGTCTAAATTCGAAATTAGAATAATTTTTTTTTCCCCGTCGGGTTTTGTGTTTTTTAAATTTTTATTTCACCTTTTCAGCCGGCATCCCTCACAGAAAAGAGTTGGACATCCTTCGATTAGTTTATTTTTAAAAATGTGTATGTAAAAAAAAAAAAAAATAGGGGGGGGGGGGGGGGGGTTGGGGTCCAGAATTTATCTCATATGTTATGAAATATGTTTGAAAAATATGAAAGTGTGAACGTCCGACTAAATTGTCCAAATCTATCGGATTCCTAATTTGTGGACAGTTCGTCAAAGGCAGAAACAAAACGTTTACTACGTAGCCCCGTATTTATATGGTGGGCCGATCAATTCATGTTGACATAGTCGCTATTTTCTCCTCCCCCACCCCCACCATTTTCTCTTTATAATTAAGTATACTGTCGAAAGTCCTTTCTAGTTGTTAACATAAATTCTGACGAAATTGTTATGTGCTTATTTTTAATGCTGTGTGAATGCACGGTAAAATGTGGGTGTCAATCTGATCATGCAGTTTAAAATCCATTTACGTTATTGATGAATCAATTGAAATGTTGATATTTATCCTAATGTTGCTTTTGGTTTTCTTTGATTGTTTAAATCGAGTTTCCGATATAATATTCTCAACCAAATAATCACAATTAGTTGTATTTAATAATAGCTAAGAGAAAAAAATAATGAAAAACTGAAATCTCCATATAACAAAGACGTTTATTCTGTGTTAAGCTTCAATGCTGCTTTTTTTTCCCCCCGAATTCATGCATTTTTAAAGAAGAAATATAAAAAAAATAAGAGTTGTTTTTAAATAAAAAAAAATACTAATTTGTTTGATAAGATGACAGCATTCTGTGAAATCAAAGTACACGTTTTTTAGAACTTTACTTTTGAACTGTATTTTTTAAAAATGAAAAGCACTTTTTCTCTTGCTGCTATTCATATTTTATCAGTGTATATAATCATCCTCGCAGTGAGTTATAGGCGCCTTCTCCTCGTCCTCATAGTAATCATCCACACAGAAGTCAATCATAACTAGACCGCCATCATTGAGCCAATTGTATCTGTGTTGGAAAAAAAAAAAGGGATTCAAATATTACTAGAATCGTATACAATAGAGTAGAAAATAACATTGGGATGTTGTAGGACAACAATCCTCTATATGACATTTAAAAAGAAAAATTTAATGGTTGTTATTTTAAACAAGATATTGTTTAAATTTTAAATGCCATTTATTCGTAAAAAGTCCATTTAAAATGTATGCATAGACAAGGACGTAAGTTAGTGAAGCAACTTGAGCCGAAAAAGTTCCAGCAGTTGAAATCATCCCATGGTGGCATTGTCATCTTTTGTTGGCATTAGAAGAAGTAGGGACCTTTTTGGCCTAGTTGTGAAGACTGAAAACAATACGACACAAAAAACAAATCCGCGATTAAAAAAGAGGGCATGCTAATGTAATTTTGTTTAAAGAGATCGCTTGTAGACCCCATCCACTGTCTTAAAAAGAATATAAAAAGTTACCTTTGAAGAAATCAATTATTTTTATCAGATGCAATTAGAGTTTAACATTAGATTAATTTGAATGAAACTTTTTAATTGTTTCGATTGTTGTTGTTTTTTCCCCATGGATTCATTTATGGACCCTCCTCAGCCATGACCTGCATTGGCCTAAAGTTAAAATCTTTATCTGCAGCAATCAACCTTTTAAAAAACAAACTATCAAACGTAAAAACCTTCTAATTTTTCCTTGTTATGATGTTGGTCGAGCTTAAGGCCTTAGGGAGGAGTGGGTGGGGGGGGGGATGGGGGACTGGTGAAAACAACATTGAGGCGGATCGTCAGCTACAAGCTATCCATAAATGATGGTGGTTGATGACGTAAGTTCTCGCCCGGACCGAGTAATGCTAGAGTTCCTTGATATTTTATCCGTCTTGTCCCCAGGGGCGTCATTTCAGGTGGGGGGGCTCAGAGGGGGGGGCAAAACTAAACCTTGTCTGCTTGTTAAGTTGTTTATTACTGGAGGCGCCACAGTGCAAAGCAATTTAAATGAAATTTGCAAATTCGGGGGGGGGGGGTGGCAGGCGCCCCCGCCCCCCATGCCCTATCCAAATGAAGTCCCTGCATGTCCAAATGTTCATTTTGTAGCTGCTATGATGCTAGGTCTGGTGTTCAGAGAGGTATTAAGAAACGTATTTCCAGCGCAGAATTTTTTGCCACGCAAATAAAAAGTCTATCTAGGCTAGTGATCGTATACATTAAAAAAAAAAATTATATCTACGCCTTTGATCGCTGATTAACT